GTCCATGGCCTCGATCACCTCGCTCTTGTTCTTGGATCCCAACAGCTGGCAGATGGTTCCCGTGGCCTCGTGGATCACATTGATGAAGCGCAGCGCCTCCGTGTAGTACTTCTTCTGGAGCGTCAGGTTGTTGATGGCCTCGCTGGTTGCTGCCTCCTGCTGCGCCTTCCGGATCGCCTCCACCTTTTCCTCGTCCGACATGGGCTTCGGCCCCGCGTCCTTTCTCGGAGTCTCCAGCTGCGTCGCATCGTCGAGCAGCGCAGTGTCCACCGTGGTGTTGGCTGCCTTCTCCCCGTCAAGTCCAGGCGCGTCCACTGGCGGCCTTAGAGCATCCAGCTCAGACTGCACCCGGTCTAGCCGAGCCTGCCACTCAGTGCGGTTTAGCTGCGCGCCGTGCACGGCAGAGAAGGGGTGGGTCTTGATCAGACAGCCCAGCAGCTTGACGGCGTTACGCCGTACGTTGCTGCTCTTGTCCTCGAGGCTCTGCGCAGCCAGCTCGGCCACCTTCTGCCGCCGCCTCGAGAACTTGTGCTCGAGATCACACAGCTTGACGTACACCTGAATCGTCCTGCAGCGGCAGTAGGGGTTGACGTCCAGGAAGCGTTCCTGCAGGATTCCGAAGAAGGCATCCAGCTGCGTCTTGTGGTTCTCTCCGCGCTGGTCGAGTTTGCTGAGATATGTCACCATGTTGCCGCAGACCTCAATGAGGGCGCAGCGTAGGGTGTAAGACTCGCTGTCCATTTGCTTGATCAGCTGCGACACCTGCTTGATGACGAGCCTCGGCGCCAGCTCCGAAAGCTTCGTGATGAAGGTGGACACCGACTTGGGCCCCTTGGTGTCTTGACTACTGAAGGCCCTCCCGCTCAGCTCCACCATGATCTCGGCAGCTAGCTGGTCGTAGTCATACTGTTCCGAAAGGATGTGCAAGAACTCGGCCATGGGCTCCGCTAGGTGCTCGAAGTAGGTCAGATTTTGAACGATGGACGTCTGCGCGGCGTACCCGTGGCCATGGTGTTTGATGGCCATGCAAAGCACCTTGAAGACGTGCATGCGAATAGGCGTGCTCTTGACGCGCTGCTCGCTCTCGAGAATCAGATAGACGGGCCGGCAGATCAACAGGATGAAGGTATCCCGTTCAGGAGTGGTCAGGAAGATCTTGGATAGCTTCAGACGCAGGACCTTGCACATGGTATCAAGGGCGGTCTGTAGCTGCATAGCCGAATCCCAGCTCCCGTCCTGGTCCGCGGCAGCGGCAGTGGCCTTTTTGCCCTTGGGCTTGGCGCCGCGACGGACGGCAGGGGCGGCCGACGACTTCTCGGCCGCCTTTGTCTCGACACAGGAGATAGTCCATTGCAGTAGGAAGCTGTAGATCTCGAGCAGCTGCTTGTGGTGAGCGACCAGATCCTGCTCGTCGGACTCGAGGTCGTTTGCGACAGCGTCGGCCTCTGCGGCCAGTCCCGAGGTGATAAGGTCGAAGATCTTGCTCAGCGAGTGCGCAGGCAGAAAGGCCGTGTACTTGAGCAGAAACTGCAGCGAGTCGAAGTGCGCACTGCGCGTGATAGCCTCGGGGTTGTTGGCCACGGCATCGACGATGGGGTTTAGCACGGGGTTTATGACGGCGTTGGTTAGGGCCTCGGGGTCGTTTTCGCAGTCGAACAGGGCGCTGTGTGCTTCGGGAGTTGGTATGCTGGCCGGGTCGCTCATGTAGTGTTTGAGCGCCTCGTTGATGTCGAAGCTGATGTGGTTGTCCATGGCTGCGGTTCTTGTCTGCGCTGCGGCGGGCGCAAAAGAGGGGAAAGGGGGGCTGCTCGTTGCCCTCAGTCAGTCCGACTGGTGCTTCCTCCCACTTTCAGGGGATTTTCTGGTGGTTTCCCGTGATGTGCGCGTCGCGCTAGGTGTCGTAGGAAGATGACGAGTGCCAGCGTCGACTTCGGGGAGGGATGGCGTTGTGTTGTCCGCTCGCATGTGCGCGGCGAAAGTGTCTTTGGTGGAGGAATCGTCTTTTGCGGTAAAGCGGCAGGCCTGCCCCTCCAATGCCCAGCAACTGTTTGTTTTTGTTTTCTTTCCCCAAAGCGCCGCTTCGCTGCATCGCGCCACTTAACCCCTGCTTGAATGTGCGCCCCACCTAACCCCCACCACCTAAAAGCCCAAATTGAGCGCGTCGGTTTGTCGCCAACCGCGGTATTTGGTTTGTAGCTGGAAGGCGCAACCTTGGGACAACCAACTGCAACAGGAAACAATCCATTGGGCACGTATTCGAGCTCTAATCCATCGATTGGCGCGTCTATCCTGCCTCTCCACCGTTTTCTCGCGACTAGAATTACCAAGGTACCTAGCCAGCACGGCGTGGGCTTGTTTCGTCCCAGGACCCCGAGTTCCACTAGCTCTTTTATATACCGGCCCCTTGTTTGGGCGTGTACAGGGAGCACGTATACTCGCGCGCGTACGCTGCCGACATGACAACGACAGTCCGCCGCAGACGGGAGGGCTCCTTCGAGATATGTGAGGACATTCCGCCTACCGAGGATACTCAGATGGAGGAAGAGATCCATGTTAGGCATCACCCCCCTGAGGAGTACGATGATCCAGAAACAGAAACCCTGGACCAAGAAGAGGACCCAGCCGCCGCGCGAGTACGAGAGTATTACAGGCGGGCACATCGAGAGCAGCAAGAAAAAGAACGACAGACCGCACAGAACCAAAGACCACCGCCCCAGGAAGTGGAGCAGGTACATGAAGAAGTGCCCGAAGAAGAGGAGGAGGATGAGGAGGATCTCGACGGTGACGCGTCCGATGAGGACGTCATCGAGGACTCGGTCCAGCAGGACATGGCCAAATTGCAGAACGCCTTCCCCGGCTTCCGCGACAAGTACCGTCTAATCAAGCGGATCGGTGAGGGTACGTGACCGTGTTGCTTGGTTCCCCCGCCCTGATATGAGCAGTATCGATGCTGACCTCGAGGACGATCCCCAGGCACTTTCTCGACCGTCTACAAAGCAGAAGATCTGCAGTATGACTTTTACGAAAACGCATGGGACATGGACAGGGAGAATGAAAAATGGGCGCCTCTGCCAGTGAGGAGTTATGGTCTCACCTCGCCGGAGCCACAGATGCCCCGGCCGCGGCGCAAGGCAAAGTATGTCGCTATTAAAAAGATTTACGTCACCTCGTCGCCCATCCGCATCCTCAACGAGCTGGAGCTGTTGTTTGCTCTCAGGGACTGCCCGGGCGTCTGCCCCCTGATCACGGCCTTCCGGCAACACGATCAAGTCGTGGCAATCCTCCCCTACTTTCGCCACTCGGACTTTCGTGACTACTACAAAAACATGACGGTCCGGGACATGTCCATATACCTGCGCTCGCTGTTCGTCGCGCTCAGGTCGGTCCATATGATGAACATACTGCACCGGGACATCAAGCCGACCAACTTCCTCTACGACCCCGACACCCAGCGCGGCGTGCTCGTCGACTTCGGCCTGGCCGAGCGCGAGGGTGCCGAGGGCTCGTCGAAGCG